TATTGTTTCCCACAGACACTCTTTGCATCTGAAAGGGCTTTCAGAGATTGAAGCCATAAGAGAGGGGTATCCTTGGCCTCATGAGATAAAGTATTCTAGTTTGTTTTCTTCATAGTTCTTTCCTCTTTCAAAAAACTAAATATGTTTACTGAGCTGCCTCTTTAGCATAAAGGAGAATTAAAGATGAAATATCAATGTTTTCCTTGTTTGTTTTCCAGTTGAGGTTTTAAGATGCAATGTTTTAGCATTCTTTTAACATCCACAAGAAATTACAGACTGTGCTGAAAACTAGAATCTTCAAGCTTCAGCAGAGGTCAAGCACAGAGAGATGTTTACTACTGCTCTGCTCTTGTAGAGCATCTCTTGGTTCAATTCTTATGATGGAAGACTTGTTTTATCTCAGTTACCCTTTTTATTTTCCTTTCTTTGCTGAGCAACTTTTCAATGCAGTTTCATGCAGTCAATATTTGTACCAGAAAAAATATCATAATTCCAAAGCAATATTTCCATGACCTTTTGTCTTTACTTTTAATCCCAGTTGGTACATAAATACTAGGTTACACATTATCATCAGAGCAAAAGCTGTGTCAGAAATACGTGGATTCAGGAAATTGTAATTTACACAGAATATAAAATGACAGCACTGGTTAAAAGATAAGGCATAATGAAAGGATATTTCAAGTGGCATTTTAAAGTGATAATTAATTTATAAAAGTCTGAGCTTCATTCTTCATATAAAAAAGTGGATGCTAATAGACAATCCATAAAGATCCCCTACATTAAAATACAAATGAGATATCCCTTATGTTTATACATGTGTAAGTACAATTAATATTGTAACCCAACTGGAAACAAAATTGCTTTAGTTAACCAACCATTGCAAGGCAATCAAATGTGATATCAAATGTAATTGTAGAAGATCCAGTTGGGGAACAGCAGCAATTATTTCATACAAAAACTCTCCTCCTTTTTCCAATTCACATACATTTATTTTTCATGCATCTGTACGCCAGATAAATAATTGGACCATCACAAGTGTCAAAATCACTCACTTTTCACTCTACACCATACAAGAAAATCCAAACTGACCAGGCAGTTTTGTTTGGAAATAGTGTCTCATACCTTTGATTTGTAACTGCATTAATCTAAAAAAAATAAAGTAGGTTTTATTTCTCTGGCTATACTTGCCACTCAGGGACTGGGAATTACCAATGGAGTAAGAAGCAAATAAAAGGCATTTCTTTATTTGCCTGAAGTGAAGCACTTTGGCTTTGTCTTCATAAACTTCACAAATATTCTCTAAAGACTCAATAATTTAATATCAGGTAGGTATTATTTTAGGGCTGTAGATGTAAACTGCAATTCAGACATTTTTATTGACTTTGTGACTAATCAGGAAACAACACAATACATTTTTTTTCCTTCCTTAGAAGACATTCATATTCTTAAACATTATTCTTATTTATCTCTGAATAACTTTTTTTACTTTTTAGTAAATTAATTAGCAATTGCCAAAGTTATCTTGATATTTAACTATCAATTAAAAACAAAAAAATTATCTTCATTTCTGTCACTAATCAAAAAACTAATGGTAAATGTGTAAGTTACATGCTCTTAACTCTCTTTAGATATTTTTTTTTTTATTATTTTGCTCTTGAGACATATAATATACACCTGAAAAACTTTATTTTAAAAATAATATTTTTATATATCCCCCTATGTCAATCTGTGTATTTAGAAAGGTATGACATTTAGAAAGCTAGGATAGGAATATGAAAATACTTTAGCTAACACCAGATATTTGCTTTTCAAAAGTTGCTGGGTCACAGCATCCCAGGTCCAAATTCACATCAATCTGAAATTCCTATGTTCATAGCTATTTTTGATTTTGATGAATATGCAATCATAGAACCATTCAGGTTGGGAAAGACCCTTGGGATCACTGAGTCCAACCATCATCCCTAGTCTACAAAGTTCTCCCCTAAACCATATCCACCACCACCACATCCAAACGACCCTTAAACACATCCTGAGATGGTGACTCAACCACCTCCCTGGGCAGCCTATTCCAGTGTCTGACCACTCTTTCTGTGTTGTTTTTTTTTCCTTATGTCAGTCTAAACCTACCCTGTTGCAGCTTGAAGCCATTCCCTCTTCTGTGAAAAGAGATCAGCACAATCTCTCTACAATGACCTTTCAGGTAGTTGTAGAGACTGATGAGGTCTCCCCCCAGCCTCCTCTTCCTCAAACTAAACATTCACAGCTCCTTCAAGCATTCTTCATAAGATTTATTCTCTAGGCCCTTTACCAGTCATCCACAGCCTTTCTCTCAACTCCTAAGGAGGTCACCTTTACATAGAAAGAAATCAGGTTAGTCAAGCAAGACCTGCCTTTCATAAACCCATGCTGACTGGGCCTGATCAGCTGGTTGTCTTGTATGTGCTATGTGATGGCACGCAGGATGACCTGCTCCATAACCTTCCCCAGCATCAAGGTCAGATAGACAGTCCAGTAGTTCCCAAGACAATTCGGAATATTTGGTAAAGATTAATTTAAACATGGCTGCATCAGAAAGCCAAAACTTAATTTTTTACTTTTGTTTTTATTTGCTTGGTCTTCTTGAAGGTGCTGGAATTCTACATACCTGAACTACTGGAAGACATTCTACCCTCACTCAACTAGAATTAGTAGGAAAAATGGATTTTAGTAGTAGATGTGGGTTTATGTTTCTATCAGTGGTGTAGTCCCATTTTTTTTTTTTTTTCTAAATTGCAAGCAATTTCACCTTAAGACAATGTTGACAGTCCTTACGTTAAATTATTAGCTGAAATAACAAGAATGAGACCATAAGACCAAATCTAGATCTTCAAAGATTTTTTCCCTGTACCAGTTAATTTCAAAAGACCTTCTCTGAGGCTACCGAATTTTTATTATACTGCAATATTAACCTGCAAAATAAAATATTAAATTCTTACATGCTTCTATTGCTGAAAAATGTGCAATAAACATTCATATTTTGAATAAGGTGTTGGAACAGGCACTCTGGTAGTCCTCTGATTGGCACATCCCTTGTAGCTTGGTATAGACTTTGGAATAATGACCAGCCCTCTTTGCCCTTCCTCTTTTGTATTTATTCCACTGAAGTCAGCCCAGATATATATATACTTCCCTAGAAGGAATGTTCATGATATTTTCTCCCTAAAACTCCAGAGGCCATTATTCAGCTGCAATGTGGATGACAAGGATGTTGCTGATTAGGAGCTCATCAGAAGCAGAAATAAACTGTCCCAAAGAGAGTTATCCCATGGTGACTCATATGCAATGCTGATGGAAAGGCTTTCGCCACCCAAAACCAAATCCTGCACAAGAAATTAACCTCTTATAGCATGATGAAGACTATCTGTAAGTACTTCAAGAACCCATAACTGCATAATTTTTTTACAGTATATCTTCTCTTTCCCATCACAGCCATTAGAAGAATCAATGTTCCAGTGAAAATTAAGTTTATCAGAAAGATCTGTGTGCAAACTAATTTGAGCAGGCGTTTTAAAAAGTAGGCCAGAAGAGGAGAAAAATTACTTCTGGCAAAAAGGGAGCAAATTAAATTATATTAGGCTTAATACATTTATTTGAAATTTAATTGCATAACCTAATGTCAAGGTTATTATATGGTATATGCTGCTCTCATTCAAATTCAAAATAGTAACACACAAGCTCAGTTTGCAGTTACTTTATTAGAAATCCAACTGTATTTTAAAACTATTTTTATTTTGAGCACAGTCTTTACCTGAGTCACAACATTATTTTGAGATCTCTCCTTGGCAATGAAGCATATTGAGACCAGAAGGCTCTCTGGGATGACTGACTTCTACTGCAAGTAAGAAAATCAAAAGCTGAAACTAAGTTGATGTGATGCCAGTGTGTACAGAAGCAAAAGTGTTAGAACAAGCATCTGACTATTCACACACCTCTGTACTGAGTCCATCAAATTTGTGGGTTTTGTTTTTCTTTCAAAACAGAGTCAGATGAACAGAAAAGGTCATTGTAGCATTCTCATTATTTCATCCCTCTGGAACATGCATTCTTTGTTTCACTGTGTAACAGAAGCTGTGCCTGTGCAAGAGAGCACACTTAAAAGCATTCAGGCTGTATCCAGACCCTCTTTGCACTTTTAAAAGCTGAATTATTTGCCCTGACCTTGAGGGTTTGTTTGTTTGACTGATTGTTTTCAGTACTCCATCTTCACATTTCTGAGGAATACGAGATCAGAAAGGACACCATAGAAAAGCAACGTGCATTTAACTGTGTGCCACTATGATTCCAGTGGCTGTGCAGACCAGTGGAGGTTTGCAGCAGGATCATGTAAAAGAACCATCTGGTTTTATTTCTGAAGGAACAGATAGTGAAGGCATAAATGACTTTGATGCTTTGCAGGGAACTGTAGCCTCAAACTAAAAGGCTTATATTCATGCAGCACAACATTAATTTTGCTTTATTAGTAATAAAGAATTAATGTTGTACATTTTACAATAATCTCACTTGTTTTTCAATAGATAACCAAAGAAGATAGCTTAGTGTTTGACCAGGTTAGGTTCTGTTTCGGTTTTACCAGAATATTGAAGAGAATAGATGCAGTTATCAAAGCATAGAAGAGGATACTAAAAATTAGTTTACAACTGTGTTTCAGTGCTTGGAGCTGCACACTTTTAACTGGTAGTAATCACCACTCATATGTCTTCTCTGCAATAATTCCTTACATTGTCAAAACAAACAGATGCCTTGTGACATCACCTCACAGCTACATCACCAGCTCTGTAAAGCTCCCTCTGAGCTTCTGAAGAGAAAATTCCACTTTAGACACCCAGAATGAGACTCTGTTTATTGAGTAGTCAATGATTCTTTCTGTTGTGGATATATAAACAACATGTTTCTAAGAATATAGTTAATATTTCAAAGAGGAAAAATCCCAGAAGGTAAAAAAGAGAAAATCTGAAACTTACCCCAAACTCATCCCTCCACTGATGTGATGCTTGGTACTTCTCTGCTTCTTTAGCCAGGCGCTGAAGACCAAAGGAAGAGAAGTCAGAGATTTTAGTTTTCACTGTATCTTCACATAGCAAAATTGTTTTATTTTCTTAATATTCATGTTTTCTCTATATAGCTTTCTATATATATACAATTATTTGAAATTTATGTATATTTGAATAAAAGATGCATCACATATTTTAAAAATGCTGTTTTGTGTATTATCCACTTACTTAAGTTTTGTAATTACACATTAGGTAGTTTAACCCTAAATCCAATATCTTTAAGAATTTCTAGTTAAGTTAAAAAAACATCAATATGCTTCTGAAAATACTTTCTCCTTACAACACCTTGTCTTATACATATTTATGTAAACTACCATCCAATGACAAGTATTTATTAGAAATTTAAGACACTGTACTATAGGCATTCATTTCACCATTAAATTTTTTAACTTAAAATAAAGGAACTACCAAACACCTCTGTGGTTATTAGGGACCCATAACAATTCAGTAGTTTGGACTAGCTGTAGTCTGATTCCACAGACTGAATACATATTAGCTGCTGAAGAATATCAGGCATGTTCCTAGAGGGCATTTTAAAGAAAGAAATCCAGCTTGTCCGTGTAGCCCCACAAGAAGCAAAGTACAGAGAACACAAATGATGAGATTAACCTCCTGGGGGAGTCATGGTCCCTTTCTAACAGAAATATCCTGGCTAAATCCACCAGACAACTATGGATAAAAATGCTTTACTCTGTGACAGTACGTGCACCATAAGCCTGACGAGCATTTTAATATTCAAACCAATTCCTACACAAAATGAACTGGTGGCTTAAGTCACATTTTCAGTTGAATAAACTGTCAGTTCTTGCTAACAACCAAAAGGAGTATGACCAGAAAGTTCATGTAAGCCAGAATAATGGAGAGGGTCTGTCTAAATCTCACCTCAGTCCTACTCTGGGAGAGCAGCTACATTATATGGTCCCACGTGGGCAGTGCCTCTCCCCCCTCTAACAACTACCAGGGTGATAAAGTTCACAAATAAAAAATTAGGAACATTTCCTATCCTTTACATTTAAAATTATCCTCTATAAACAATAACCAGCAGAACCCAAATGCACAAACTGATAAATGGATTATGAAGACTTATTAACACTGGATTATTAACACTACTATGAATTTGTATGGAAAGAAGAAAAGCCACACTTGAAATTCCTCAGCTTGAGTTGAAAAATTAGTAGATTCTTCAGTAATCTGTACTATAAAGCACAAATTTTTAAAGCAAAATTAAAAAAAAAAAAAGTTTTTCTTTGGTTGGGTTTTTGCTTTTCTTGGGGTTTTTGGTTTGATTTATTTTTAGGGGGAGAGGATTCTTGGTCTCAAATGGAAAAAAAAGAAAGAATAATCCCCACCAAATTCTTCTCCTTGAAGAATTTTTCAGTCAGATTTAAGTTAGAACCCACCCTGTCTAAATAACCTGCTACACACAGTTTCAACAATTCTATCTTAAAATCTCATATGAAAGCACAAGCAAGCAGTTACAATGATGAAAAATGAGAAAACAGCTGTGTTCCTTGACTCAACCAAATTAAAACTCACTCATGACTATAAACTAGAGCTCTGGTTACCTAGCTCATCTCCAGCAGAAATCTTTATCAACATTTATGTGCAGGCTATAATGAAGGCACAGATCATGCAAGGATTTCATTTTCAAGCAGCAGATGTTTTAACAAAAGATACGGGTTGACTAATAGGAGTTCTGTGCACACAAAACCCAGAATAATTATTAACAATGTAATACCTTTGATATTTTTAGGAAAGGGAAGAGTATTCAAAATAAAATAGAAAAGAAATTAAAATATATGTTATGAAGCTAAGGTGTTCTCAGAAGTTACTTATTTCTATGTAAGGAGAAGTGCTACTGCTACAGCAATATGATGTCTAATGACTGAAACATTCACACTTCTACAGTGAGTCCTTTGTTAAGAGCAAGAGTAAGAAGTCAAAACTCTTGGGTCAAAATAGCTAGATTGTGAAGCAAACTCAAGTAACCTATGCCCTTTATTGTGACACAAGGAGACACTAATTTTTTATCTCTCTCAAAGAAATGATGCCTGCTTCTTTTTGAGGTATGCAAATGTCAGGTCTTGCCTTCCCTGTATTGATGGAGGAGTTTCTGAAGAATGCCAACACAGCAGGCCGACAGCTGACACTTCCCATTTTCCCCTCTCATTACAATGAGAGTTTAAAAAGGTAACACCTTCTTTAACATCATAACCCACTGCAGCTCCTTAAAGGTTTCTTTAGTAAATACTAAAATGCTGAAATTACTCTTAAATAGTACATAAATTCAGAAACAGTGATCAAGAAGAGAGGGCTGCAAAAGCCAACAACATGCTGTGGCATCTACTCCTGTGCTTTTGGAGGATATTCAATAGCTGGAAGATGGTATTTCAAAGTGAGAGATTAAAAGGGTTTACGCTAGATTTAGTCTGGGTGATATACAAAGTAGTTGATGTCAAATTTGAAATGCTTGAAAACACTGTAATCAAATAAGCATTTGTTTAATATATGTTCCTACTTGGAAAAAAAAAAAAAAAAAAAAAAACAACATTTTTTTCCCCCTTTTTTTTTTTTTTTCTTTTTTTTTTTTTTTTTTTTTTTTAGTGCATGAGATCTGCACTTTACCTTGCAAAAGTACTGTGCAGGGTGCATTACTTTCAGGAATCTTCAAAATACTTAACTCATCAATAAAAGAACAATTATCCCTTGGAAGACAGTCAATGCCCAAAAGTAAGTATTTTTAATCTAACTTTGAAAGAAGCCAAGATCCACTTCCATTAGGTTTCCTTAAATCTTTCAGAGGCAACGGTTACCTTCAAGGCAAAACAGCTATTGGGAAAGATGGATAAGATGCAAGTGTTATTTACTCTATCAGCCTATGACCTTTTCTTTATCTTTTAAAGGGATTACGAAAGATTACACACAAGCAAACCAACAACAAAAAACCCAAAGCACAGCTGCCTGTCAATCTGAAAACTGTCTCTTTTCTAAGGTCTGGTCCCCAGATTCCAAATGCACGTTACTGTCCCTGAAAGACAGCCTTTGATGTAGCACAGACTGCAAGAAAGAGACTTGAACAATCTTTATCTGATTGGTAAAGATCAACTCCCTAGAAGGCCCATTCATCTTCCAGCTTTCATTTTTGAGCACGTATGTCATATCTTTATCCTCTCCTAGCCAGTACAGAAGTCTGTCAGCTAATGGCCCAATTACAATTACATTCAGAACAAAGAAAAAAAATATTTGTTTGTGCTTCTCACTCTCCTTTGAGCACTTTATCTTGAAAATAATATTTGACTACCCCTTGATATATTAAGCACATAAGGTCACAGACAAACAGTATGTTTAGATTTGCTCTTCTATATTCAACATAGACCTTATATAATATATTCCCCAGCTACTCTGTGGAGCCAGTTTCATTTTAGTCATCTGCGGCAGCAAATCAGTCACACGTATAAGAAAAAAGGTCTGTCAGAGGTCTGCTGACATTGTGAGCCTTACCAAAGTGTTCTTCATATAAATTGCTGCTCTAAATACAAATGTAATCTTATATGATCAGCAATTAGCACTTTTTTTTTTCTTTTTTTTTAAGGCTGATTATTATTATACTCTGGACCACAATTCAAAATAATGCTTCAAACTTTGTCTTCCACTATTAACCATTACCAACAAGGTAAATTACTAGGTTGGGGTTTTTTTTCTAATCCAGATGTAGATTAAAAAACTCAACTTCAATTAAACAGAAAATTACATATGTTGTGTGCTTGTCTAATGCATTTCATGCCATTTCTGTTTTATTCATGTGAACAGTGATTCCATTTCTGACCTTCTTAATCAGTTTTTCTAACAATATCACCTCACATTCAACATAAGGCTGTCATGTTGGCTAAATAGAAATCTAACAGAAAAAAATTACCACCTTCCATATATTTAGAAGACAGGAATTTGACAAATGTCTTTAACTGCTAACAACTGTAAATCATTATGATTCAAGACAATTGTTATTCCTGTTCTTTAATTAAATGAGTGAAGGAAGAATCAAGGTGATTTTCCAGAGAGAACTAGACAAACCAAATAGAGTTACAATGAAGAAGGGGGAGTCCAGCCCATGAGGTATGAAACATGGTTTGTACAAAATATCCTATAAATTTAATATGCTGCAGAATGAGCTTATAAAAAAATCCTGTTTAACTATTATTAAGCAGCAACAAGGAATGTAGACAATTCTCACCAGAAGGTAGAGAAGCTGTACTTTGTTAAATTCTACATTTTCCACATCTATGGGGAGAGGGATAGAGGAAGGAGGTTCAGTTCCTAAGTCTGAATGTATTTCTTGGATGCATGCAATCAGGAGATTTGAGAAGCTGAGCAATATTATAAAAGCTTGATACTGCCAAATATGTTTCAGTAGAAAAAAGAGTAAGATAGAGATAACTGTAGATAAAGGCAAGAAGAAAAACAATCAGAAAAGAAGAGTAAGAAATAGTCTGTCAAATTCATCTTGACATCTAGCAGTGACATTTTGCTAGAGTAGCATTCAGAATCCACAGAGGAGCACTGTTTTTAACATATAATTTATCCTTCTCATTTGCAGAGGCTTCAAACCCTTAAAGCTTATTACATTTTCACTCTAATAAGTCATATGCCATAAATGCAAGTCACATTACTGTTATATTTTTAAACAAGCTCAAAGTGAAGGACACATGCTGAAACCATTAGACTGAAATTGCCAACTGCTCCAGCAAATCACAAATTGCATAACACCACCAGCTCCAGTTCAGTGCCTGCCTTAGGAAACTCCTTTTAAGCTTCACAGCTGAGCTAGTAACTTCAGAGGCATGATTAGAAGATGACATGTATATTGAGGCATGCCTTATTGCCTTGCTTTTTCAGCTGTAGTGTAGGTGTAGTTTTTAACAACCCAGGGAGAAACTAGGACTTCATAGACTTATTTTAGAAAGAGCAAAATT